GTTAAGTTGAAGCATGCAGCCACGCCTACCCGATCTCAGGGATTTCAAGTATATCTATGAGCAATACAAACTACAGCATTTTACAGAGAGCATAGCCTCAATGCGATTTCTGCCTAGTAAATGTGTCCAACGAAAATACCCAGAGCAAGAGGGCTCGTAAGTAACTTGTCAATATTTCCTTGCAAGCTTTTGCTGTGATTTTTGCATACGTTGAAAAAAATTACATCCAAACTTGAAATTATCTAATCGAGGGTCATGGATGTTAATGCACTTACATGAATGTTAGTGCATTTACTGCAAAGGCAGGAAGAATTTTGTGACTGTATGAAAGAAAAACTTGCTAGTACGTAACGTGAGGCGACCGCAAGTTGAATGCCTTGAACTTCGGAACAGAATTTTAAGTGCTCGCAAATGAGACGGAAATTTCAGCGAGAAAAGCATTAAAAGCATTCCAGATATTTACTAGAAGACCCAGAACGTATAAAGAAAGGTGCCTTCCGAAAAAATATCTTGCCGTTTACACCGCTCAGCGATAGAGCTGTAAAAATAAAGGAGCGTTACGCGCGTGCACAAATTATTGGTTTGGCCCATGAGCTGGCTTTTTAATCTTACATGGAATTTCGTCGGAACAAGTAAAATTCTCCTCCACGAGTTCCACTTCATTGATGAAAAACTTTCTTTTCAGCAGGGCCAGTTTCCTTGGTTTCTTACTTCATGATTTTTGTCAATTTTAGTTCACTGAAGTGTCCGGCGATACAAATGGGAACTTTTGAGACTAATCCCTGCATCTAATCTAGGGTGCAGGTGCAGCTGCAACTCATGCAGCTTGCTAGAGATTTGGACCTTGTAAATGTGCATCGTATGGGCACCTATTTGGGTGGCGATTGCCTGCAAAACCCATGCTCTAGCTCCGACCGAATCATTAAAGGCAGTTGGCACGATGGTTTCCTACTTAGCCTAAAATGCTAGTAGGGCGCTATATAGTGGGAAATGGCGAAAGAACGGAGTGAAACGGTCAAAATCCTGCGAAGAAAAAGCCTCCGTTCTCAGTGACTTGAAAATCGATTTCGGACGAGTTTCCCGTAGGCATCTTGCCAGTTGCCGAAACCATCAATCCTCCGAGCCACCGCCATTCGCCTGCACTGAGACCCAGTCCATGACTCGTCTATCTCTTTGCTACAGAGTTAGGCTGACTGACAGCTTTGGCATATCAGTAGAATTATCAGATGAAGCGCAGCCGCCATGAGCAGTTGGACTTTAGAAGGCACGCCACCTGAAAATATGATAATTGTGCGGCCACATACACCCAATGATATATGGCGAATAACATTTAGACAGTAATGGAAACAAAGACAAGAAAAAATCGCCGTCGAATAGCCTTCAATATAGACCCACCAGCTTTAACTGTTGTACGTGCAAGGAACGTGGTCGCACCTGCAGCTCTCATCACTCAGAGTGCAAAGACCTGGTAGCGGAACAACCGCACTGCCAGGATACCTTGAGAAATGGAACTTGGCCTGTGGGCAGGACCGTGGCTCAACGCGAGGTCTTTTCTCTGAGCTGACCATGAGAGGTGCTACAAAATCGATCTTTATTTGTGCCTTGCGGCGGATTAGCTATAGTCCAAAGATGAGTGCTGACCAACCAAGAACCGCAGGAGTATTTTAGACAGCAGTCTCGTAATAAGTTATTGTGCCCAGGCCGTTTCCACTATGAATTTATGCTGCTTCTTGCGTAATCGTACCATCAATCCAGAGCACCAACAAAAGACGAAGTGAGCCAGAGCCGGCGTTTCTACCACATGGCTCGTTCAGTTTCCAAAATTACCCCTAGCAAAGTATGGCAGCTGGAAGCGGCACCCTTCCGCCGCCTCCGATGTTACCACTTCCCCGCACTGCGTCATCATCTGTGACCTGATTAGTTAGGCATTGGATAATATTTCCACTGATCACAGGGAACGTCATCATTCCCACAGACTGATCTTTCCGTGCTACGGGAACTGCGAATCCCATTTTGGAAGCAGAAACAAGCAAAGACGGGTTGCGACAAGCATTTATTGGTTGTCTTTGCTCCGACAAGCAATTTCTTCAACATTTCATCCTCATCCTCTGCAACAATAGTCTGCCCCTCGTTTTCCGCTCGTTGTGGCGCGTTTGCGTTTGATGCGACTTCATGTTTGTCGAGCGAGTCAGGCTCACATTCCTTTCGAATGTTCTGTAAGCGCATCGAACAGGGAATTCAGGAATCACTTCCAGGAGTAACGGCGACACAGAATTCCACCGTGGAACTTGTTTTTCTTGGAATCTATTAGCGCAATGTTCCTTGGGTACGTACTGCTTTACCAGCTCTTCCAACGCACGACTGACTTAACTGGATTTATTTTCATGTACCGGTTTCGCGGCAAAACAGTGTATGGGAAGCAATATAGCTTCGTGACGCCTCCTTTTTTCCAGGGACTCCGCCCAGACTCCGCCTACAAAGCCGCCCCCGCGTGAAACAAGGACGACAACATCGTCACTTGTTACGTCTATTCTTATCGATGAAATCCGGCTGTGCCGAGGAGGCGTAGGTTGGAGATAGAGCTTCATCGGGCACGTACAAACTGGACCGAATGGGTTCTCTAGGCAGCTGGACAGCGTTTTTGCTTTTTTCTTCACTATGCTAACTCTAGCCCCCGTCCTATATATTCCAACCCCTAATCAACTATCTATGATGGCGATCAATGGCAGCTTTGCTTTGAGGATTCCTGCAGCAATTAAAATACTATATAAAATCTTCTAAAAAATCTTACGCTCATACCATTCGTTCAGAACTTTACGATGAATTGACCAATCGCATAGGCGGTCGTCCAGGCGTTCGCTTGACATCCCGTGGAATCCAGTCGGTGATTGCTCTGGTCCAGCGGTCGTCCTCGAAACGCATGACGTGTCCGGCCCACCTGATCTTCGAAACCTTGGCAAATGACGGTGGGCGTCATCGTCGCGAGCTTCGGATTCCCTCTCTCCATTTGCGTTGAGCAGGGAAACTCGACAATGTCCCTTTCGGGATGCGCCGTTGAATAACGCCGAACCGCATGCTCATCCCATGCGCAAAATGAGCAAATCGAGCACAAGGAACGGTCCATCATTTGTGGACGGGCGGGCGCTGTGAGCTTCTAGATCGGTATGTTGCGACTTGATAGCACTTTATAAAGGTACCTCTCTTGAAAAGGGCTCTTATGCAGCGCCTGCGATGGGGCCCGGGACTCTCCAATGCTAGCCAACAGCGTGTTAAGCCTCACTCGTCTGAACCTGCCTCAAGACAGACACTTCTCAATCTGAGAGCACATCGAACCTAAACAATAGAACAAAAAGAGCATAATTCCTGACCACAGTGTTTACGCCCAGCAGCTCTACACATGTAACTCGCAGCAGCCCATGCCTCCCCAGTTAAGGGGGGGGGGGGGGGGGGGGGGGGGGGGGGGGGGGGGGGGGGGGGGGGGGGGGGGGGGGGGGGGGGGGGGGGGGGGGGGGGGGGGGGGGGGGGGGGGGGGGGGGGGGGGGGGGGGGGGGGGGGGGGGGGGGGGGGGGGGGGGGGGGGGGGGGGGGGGGGGGGGGGGGGGGGGGGGGGGGGGGGGGGGGGGGGGGGGGGGGGGGGGGGGGGGGGGGGGGGGGGGGGGGGGGGGGGGGGGGGGGGGGGGGGGGGGGGGGGGGGGGGGGGGGGGGGGAAAGTAAGCAACAAAAGTTTGAGAACACTCTGAACAGAGGCCCTCTTTCAGTGGAGCCGGCGCTTTAAAGACAGCTCCCGCGATAAAAGTAAGTGGCAAGAATAATTGCTGATCAGATATGAAACAGTAGCTGGGAAGTAATTCCTCAATGATGGGCAAGAGCAACAATCAGCCCTCAAGAACACCACAAACGAAATCGTTCCCTTACAGTTACACCGCCTGCGATCCGTGGGCAACCCCGCTCGAAAATCTCTTTATCACATCTCTCAGTAGTGAATCATCCAATCAGCTTAAAAAATATGAAAAACAATAAAAAAACTCGAAGAAAAACTATTGAAATGCAAAAAATTACTTCAAATACCACGGCGTCCGATTTGTTACTTATCGCGAGCGTTTAGCATGTTGCTTAGTCAACCTTTTCCACTCACAAAATCTGCATTCACTCTTGATTTCTATGCGTTTTACCTACCAGATGTTTTGCCTTTGACTGTATGTGCTCCTCAAATGAATTGAAATGTGAACAAAAGATGCAGCAGGTATCTAAAGGCACCATCGCGCGATTGCAAAAATGACTGGCAATCACCGAGTATCGTCCCGCTTCCCAACAAGAGCAACTGAGCGTCTTTCCGTCGAGGCAGCTAGCAGGTATGCCATCCAACGACTGCTCATAAACTACAACTTTGACGTGTAGCTCCTTCTCGCTTCACTTGGTTGCGAGAGTGACAGTTTCATCTAGCTTGGGCTGAACTACCGGTACAGGAATGACGACAATGGCGTACTCGAGGCGGTGGTTTCTGCCAACGAAGGTATTTAGTGTTTATATTTCAAACCTCACGACATCGACAGGACTGGAGCCTGGCGAGAAACAAGTTCTATCAGGAAGGAGCAGAAATTCTGCAGCCGCTGTCACTCATGTTACTGAGTGTCTGCCTTTGCGACCAATCTCGTTGTGGGATACAAAGTATGGGTTGATGACTGCTACTTTTTCAAATTCAATTTGACAGTGGCCAGCGTAATCCAGAGATGTCCAGTAAACAATCAATGCAAAAATTTTTATATTTCACAACAGAGATGTAACTAAGCGTACAATAGTCTTTGGATATTGGTATCAGACTTTCAGATAGTCAAAGGCGCAACGATGCAGGAGCAATCGAGCGTGTCTGATTAGGCCATGCCTCTCGGGTACCAACGTCGGAGGTTTGCCATGGCTACACCAGCATCCGACCTGGCTAGGCAGCTCAAGTATTTCGCATTGTCGTGTAAATAAGAATGTTTGAACTGTTTTCGGGTCTCTTCACGACCCCAACTCATCGGCAACATCACGCATTGCTGCCGCAAAGTCTTCAACCCTTTCGGGATTTCTCATCCATTCCACATCAGGGACCTCGTTGAGATATAGCTTGAACAAGTCATGCATTTGCTTTTTGAGCTTGTCGAGAGGTGTTTCTTTGACAGCTTTCTTTATAATATCCATGCTTTTCTTCACGTATTTCATGTATTCCACCAACAGTTCCTCATCGGGGCCGTCACTTTGCTGTGCTGAAAAAAATCAGAAAATTTTTTGCTGTAAAATATATGTTAGCTGTAAAAAGATACTCACCGCAGACATAAACGGAAAAAGATACAAGAACTAGCAGACCAAGACGGATCATTTCTAACAACCTAAATGAGGTTATTCGGCACTGAATAAAAGGCAGTTTCTGGTAAGTATCGATGTGTTTCACATGAATTGCTGTAATTATTATGTGAATGAGCAACGTATTGCTCGTAACATTGCCATTCGTCGAGCGGGGCGGTTCGAACCCGCGTCCGACTGCCTTGCTCTCCCAATGGCGACCGGATAGAGTTCGATTTAGGAAGAAGTCAGCCACTGGTGGAAGCGCCCAGGTGAGAACCGCTTATTGCGACCTGACAGGTTGCTTATATGAGCTATAGATCCCGTACGAAGTGGTTAACACTGCCCACACAGTTGGTAGCAAGCTCCTATGCTAGTCTGATTCAAGCTACTCTACGCTGCCGAATGGGAAAGACAAAATAATACCAGTCGAGAAAGAGCTACTCTGAGAGCGACCTCATCCTCCTCCCTTTTTGGTGGCGCCGCCAAAGTTCTATATCTATTATTTCCGATAGCTGAAAATAATAATTGGTTGCTGGCGAATTCTCCTCCCACCGCTCGACGAAAATTTTTGAGGAACAAGTAGCAAATTTTCGAGAAATTTAGGAGAAAACTGGGACACAACTGGGTAGGAGCTGGAAACATGTAAGGAAATGGTAGGTAGGTGTTGGGAAAGGGAAGCGGGTGGGTCGTACCGAGACCCTTTATCAGGGGTTCGCACTGACACCATTATTTTACACCTGACGACCCTTACCCTATGTGGCCAACTCTATGAGCCGGCTTTATGCAGCGTAAAGCGCCCTGGATTGCGGGAAGGGGCTATAGCCAAGCACCACATCAGCACCGGCAGCACGTCGAACCTATGGCCCAAGAATTGCTAAGACGCTGTGCGAGAGAGAGAGAGAGAGGCATGAGTGTAGCGGATTCTGGGAGCTGCACTCATGACAGTGCTGATCGGCGAGCCATAGCTACTTTTATACTGTTGATCATTCGAATTGTAACCACCAAGGAACAAAAGCCACGTGTCTGAATGCCTAACCTTTGTGCTATTCATAATATTACAGGCTAACGTAACATCAATAGTGTCATCGACTAATGCCCAACCAGCTAGAGTAACGAGTGTTGAAGGTTGTTGCTGCTGTTCCTGAATTTGACAGTAACAATAAGGAAAGAGATCACTCGTGAGCAGACCTAGAGTCTCATGTTTTTGAATACAGCCTGTACACTCACATCGCCTTCTCTGTCTCCTTATCCTTGCCATGAGCGACTACCTCGTGAGAGGCAAACTGGTCCATAGCCTCAACTATGCCACTTCTGTCACTCGGAAATGAACGGAAACAAAGCCAGAGTGTACTGGCAGCTGGATACAAGATTATAAGTTCAGGTCGTTAGGGGGTGTACAGTACCCCCGGAAACTGCGCGTGGGATAAACTGTGCTGCAAATGCCGTATAACAGGAGCTATTAAACGCACCTCAAACTTGGGTAACTAAACCGATTACGGTGCGCCCGATTGTGTGCGTTCACGACGCGACATTTTTAACTTCACGCGCAATTTTCGGGGGTACTGTACACCGCCTAACAACCTGAACTTATAATCTTGTCAGCTGGATGGCTTTAGGGTCTAGCCGCATCAAAGCACGCAGCACGCAACACGACGCACTACCAGCTATATGCATAGTCAAGCCGGACAACTCGTCTGCTTTCCTCGTTTACATACGTAGCTGTTGTTCTCCACACTTTGACGCGATGGACAGTTCGTCGCTCGTGTTGTTCGCTGCGAGGCTTCGGCATAGACGCACTTGCTGTTGTGAAGGTTAGGTCGAGGCTCTGTCGGCATCCACTTTTCACTGCGTTCCGCGTGCTCTGGTGTTGACAAACGTATTTTTACAGCTACTAAACTGCTCAAATGCACAAGTTTAGCTCGCAGGTACACTTGAAATCCCTGAGATGTGGTAGGCGTGGCTGCGTACTCCAACTAAACATGGAGTGGCTGGACTTCCATTGAAATATTTCCATTTGACTCAGTCGTGGTTGTGTCTCCATGTAACAATGACCAAGATAGCAGTGTGACTGAAACTGAAATATCCCAGGACTAATCCATTCTAGCCATATTGAAGTCCCCACGCCTACTCCGCCTCCGGGATAAGGAGTTTAACAGTACAGCCTCCCTTTTGAGCCTTCCCTCTTACGTTACAGCAATATTCGTGTTGTACTGTGACTACGTATGAATGGAGCGCTGAATTGACTATCCAACTACTAGGCCCACAATGCACGACGTTTTCGTTCCACCGACAATCTATCCTCTTTGTTTAATCAAGTTTTTGACTAATTTATAAAAAACGCTTCGCTTGTGAAGAATTGACTATAGACTAAACATTCCGCAATTCCCATGACGCCGTGAATTTGATTGGGATTTTCAATCACATCATCAGTGCTTTATTCAAAATGTTCGATTCTCGGCGGTTTCTCCCCCGACCTGGTGGCGGGCACAATTATCATCTGAAAGCTGAATATCAGATTGGAAATTAAGTAACAACATCGTGCTGAACTTGCTATCCCTCAGCAAGTTTAAAAGGAATGGCGCATTACTGCGATGGCAGGCTGTCTCTATGCGTCATTCTCACGCATATTAGGTCATCTCATTCAAAAACGTGGAAGGTTATATTCAAATGAAACGATGAAGAAGAAAGATGAAAGGACTGTTCTGGCATTGAGTTCAGGATTTCGCTTTCAGGAATGAATCGCCCCACAGTCCAGGAAGCTTTTGTATCTCTGGCACCATCCTTTGCCCAACAAGTAAAACTCTGCTGATGCCCGCTTTCCGCGATCGACAAGTCGTCGTAATGTTTGCCACTAGGCAGTGCCTCCTACTGAATGGAACAGCTGAAATGGGCGCAGTTTGTCGACGGAGGGGCATTTCGTACTATCATTGCTTCCTTAGTTCCGGTTTACATGTCTCACTCTGGCGAAACCTGTGAACTCTTGTGAAGCTGGAACAAGGTCGTCAAGCCATCATGTTAAAACCTGTCAACTCGAGAAGAGGCTGTCTAGATAGGTCGACACGTCGATGGGAAGTAGCAAAAGTGCAAAATGCCCCCCTCCCCCCCGTCGGCATACTGCGCCGCTAAAATGTACGGATGTTGATTAGAAACTAAGGGTACCGAAATTCAGGTCTCAGTATTGCTTCAGTCGAAACCCTGTCCAATATCTCGGCTAGATAGGGCCTATGTAGTTGCGCGGTACGTCCATCTGACCCTCGAGGGACTGACAATACATAACGAAAGTGACGGTTTTTTACTCAGAATACAGCCCCTCGAAAGTCACAGTGCAGAAACCAAACTGCCACGAGATTGGAGATCATCTTCTTGAGTCGACGTAACTTTTCATGACTAAATTGGGACTCCTTCTCATCTGCATCGATTCGAAGTTGACACTTGTGAATTCTGACTTGGAAGTGCAAGACCACCCATACTTCGAATTGGACTGGGGAGGGTGAGTGCAAGACCACCCACACTTCGAATTGGACTGGGG